GGGTCTCCAGCTTGCCAGATTGCCCTGCAGACCTTGCAACGTGTCAACCTCCATTACTGTATGAGTCAATTCCTTACAATAAATCTCTGCACACACACACACACACACATTATTGGTTCTGCTTCTCTGAACTGTAATACACCCATCCGCAATACACTAATATTGGGGCTACTCAAGGTTGGGACAAAGGGAAGGCAATTTGACCCCGCTCAAAGATCAAGCTATATCCCAATGTTTCCTGGGGCCCTGTTCACCCACACCCATGCCAGCACTCCAGCCATGAATGACAGATACTGTGTGCTGAGCTGTTACTGGGTCTTAGTTGTATATATTTCACTCATTCCTTTTTTTTTTTTTGAGAGGTTTTTGCTATAGGGCATGTGCGCTTGCCAGAAAGACAGAGACAGAGGGACCAGCAGTTAGCATAATGGCTATGTTGCTGAACTCTCACATAGTCGACCATGGTTTGAGTCCCGGACCTAGTGGCTTAAACTCACGCCGGGTGTATGTGCGTGCGTGCCCAAGATGCTGAGAGGAGAATGGAGGAGAAGAGATTGCAGTGTGGCCATTCTCCCTGGGGGCTGATTTCTCGCTTTCTGTCTCTCTCATCTGTTTTTCTATAGAGTGCACACACCCTTATAGCCAAAAAAAAAAAAAAAAAGAGAGAGAGAGACAGAGGCAGAGAGACAGAGACCAATATTACTCGTGTCTTTATAAGAGGAAATTAGGACATAAACTCACACAGGAGGACAGGGAGAAGATGGCTGTTTACCAGCCTAGGAGACAGGCCGCACAAGGAACCTCGACTCTGGACTTCCAGCATCCAGAACTGTGAGGAAGCACATCTCCTTCCGTTTAATCTCCACTGCGTGTACTTTGTTACAACAGCCCAGCTAACTGATACACACTGGGCATACGCAGGCCTGAATGAGCTTTGCAGTCACATTCTCCTCACGCTCTCCAGCACCTGGGCACCCACCCACCTCTCCTCAACAGGAATTCTCTGAAAGTGAGCTGGGGCTGGTCAGGTAGGTGATGTCCTGCCTGGTGACAGGAGATGCTCAGGCAGGGCTGGCTAACCCAGCAGGCGGGGACCAATGCCAGTGCTTTCTGGTCTAGGTGGGAGGACTGGATGTACAGGGGAGCTCAGTGCCGGGAACAGAACAGGGCAACCAAAGCACAAGGCTGAGTCCTCACCACTGCTGTGGTCAGGGCAGTTCTTGTTTGGGGTTTTCTATCTTGGACTTTAACGAAAGA